GCGGGCGCAGCAGCAGCAGCAGCGACGTGGGCAGAGAGGAGCTCCCTGCACTGCTGCGCCTGCTGCATCAGCAGCTGCTGCCGCCTCCGGGCCCTTTCGCAGCTTTCTGCTTCTTGAGCTTCTTTTGCTGCATGCAGCTGCTGCAGCAGCTGCGCATTGAACTCCGCTTGGCTCTGCGCCGAAGGCAGCCGCAGCCACATTTGCTGCAGCACTTCTTCCACGTCCCGCTCGCCCCCCACAGAGGGGCCCCCGGGGGGCCCCCCTGCGGGGCCCCCCGCCCCCGGGGGGCCCCCGGGGGGCCCCCCCGGGGGCCCCCCCGGGGGGCCCCCCGGAGCCACGGGGGCCCCCGGGGCCCCCGGGGCCCCCGAGGCGCGGGGGCCCTCTGCAGGCCGGGGCGAGCGGGGGGAAGAGGGGCCCCCCGAGGGGGGCAGGGGGGCCCCCGGGGGGCTGGCGAGGCCCTGGCGCTGGAGGCTGAGTTCGAACTGTTGAATGGAGTCGAAGAGTTGGGCCCTGGCGGCGGGACTTGAAGAAGTTTTTGTTTTGTGAGGAAAAGAAGAAGTGAAGGAAAGGGCGGGGCCCGCGGGCGCGGCGCGAGGTGGAGATACACCCGAAGCGCCCGGCGGCGCAGCTTTCCGAGTTGGGCCTTTCGGGGACTTTTCAGTTTTTTCTTTTTGCGGTTTTTGAGACTGAGCCGCGGGGGGGGCTGCTGAGGCCCCTTGCTGCTGCTGCTGCTGCTGCTGCTGCTGCTGCTGCTCAGCAGCAGCGCGAATCCGCTGCAGCAGCCGCGCTGCTGCGCCCGACTTGCTGCTGACTATGTTCTGCACGGAAGCTGCACTTAGCCGAATTCCGACTGTCTCCAAAGCTGGCCGCAAAGCCGCGAAGTTCTGCGCCTGCGCGGCCGCGCCGCCGCAGCCCGCGAAGCCCCGCAGGTCCCGCAGCAGCGACAGCCGCAGCAGCACTTCCGCGAAGAGGAAGCCGTCGGAGAAGTCCGTTTCCACGCAAACGATGGGCTTGGAAAGCTCCAGGCTTTCCAGCCAGTGCAGAAGAGAAATGCTCATTTCTTTTTCGAAAAAAAGGAAAAAAAAGCAGCTCAAAATGCCATTTTCCGGCTAAGTGACCCTGCTGCTGCTGCTGCTGCACCGTGCAGACAAACCCCCGACTTAGTTCAACTTCACTCTCTCGCGCCACCACTTTCGACTTCTTCGCTTCTTTGCTTCTTTAATTCAAATTAATTCGCCTTTTAGTGCCTTTTCGCTAAAAAACGCCGCAAAAAGCCCTCCTTCAACTCCCCGGCTTCCGGGGCTGCAGATATTCAACTTTGGGACTCGCCGCGGCAGCCACAACGCAAACGCGCAAAAAACTCCACTTCGAACTTTAAATTCAAAATTCCCAATTATTCAAACGCTCTTTAAATGCTTTTCGTCCTTCAAAGTCCTCATTTCCCCCTCAGCTGCGGGGTTTCCCCGCGATCACGTCCAGCGCGCCGCAGTGCAGACTAACGGGGAAGTCCTGCGGCGGCGTGCAAACTTAATAGCCGCTGATCCGCGGAAATATGAATTCAAATATCAAATTCGGAAAGTCAAAGGCCGAAAGGCTTTTGAAATGCCGGCGGTTGCGGCAGTTTGCGCAGCCGCCTCGCCTGGGAAACAAAATGGAAAGCGGCTCGATGTGGAGCCCTGGGCGACTGAAAACAACCGCTTTTGGCCTTTTCGGAATTAATTTTGCAAAATAAAGTTAACTAAAAGCTTAATATGAAATTTAGAATTAATTTATTCCGCATTGTGTCGCCTTCGTTTCGAGTGTCTCCCGCGTGCAAGATCTCGACAGAATATATGCTCATGTCGGCCTTTGCAGGCTTCCGTTCACCTCTTTCTTTAAACATTTGCCATTAAAAATGATGCCAAAAAGTCTGAATGATTTAAAACTTCACATGGCATATTCTCAAAGATCGGAGCTCGTCGCGCCGGACCTCTCGCCACCGGAATGCCGGGAATACAGCGCTTTCAATTTGAATTCGACGGTAATCTTTTTTGTTTTGCATTTCTCACGACATAGTTGCACAAATTACTCGTTAGGAAGCCCAAAATACGCAAGGATACTGGCCTTCTCAGCAGCGGTGGAACGCAAACCTGTACAGCGGCGCAGCCGCCGCCGCTGCCGACTGCACTTCCCTGCCCCCCAAACGCCCCTCCCCACAAACTGCGCATGCACTCGAGACCCACTCCAGCTTTTATGAGCACGAGAGGCAGAGTTCGGGGGGCCCGGGGCCCCCCCCCCTCGCTGCAGCGCGGAGTTCAGCAGCGGACTTGAGCGCCACAGCTTTCCCCCCTGGGCCCCCAGCCAGACGCAGCCCGCGGCGCGGGCCTATTGCTCTGGCCTGGGGGCAAGCAAATCGCCCCAGGGGCCCCAGGGGCCCCAGGGGCCCCAGGGGCCCCCTTCGAGGCCCGAGGGGGCCCCCCAAACTGTTTTGCCTTACCCATTTTCTTCGAGCTCCCAGTCGCTGTCCTTAAGGACAAACTGCTCCTACGAGCAGCAGCGGGCCTCTCTGCCCGACAGCAGCCTCCGCAGCAACCCCGCTGCTGCTTTGGGCGCCTTTTGGGGCCACAGGCAGCAGCAGCAGCAGCAGCAGCAGCAGCAGCAGCAGCAGCAGCAGCAGAAAGCCCCGCGGGAGAACTGGTGCATGCCAGCAGCAGCTCAAGAAGCTGCTGCTGCTTCGCTGCGAGAAGCAGCAGCAGCAGCAGCAGCAGCTTGTGACGGCTCCCAGGGCTTTTCCTTTCCCCTCCCCCTTTCCCAAGACTGCAGCAGACACACAACCCAAAAAGAAGCAGCACAAGTGCCAGCAGCAGCAGCAGCCTCAAAGGCCCAGGGGGCCCCCGGGGCCCCCGGGGCCCCGGGGGCCCCCGGGGGCCCCGGGGGCCCCCCTGGGTCTCGGGCTAGTGTGTCTCAGTGCTGTTCAACTCAGGCGGACACAGTGAGTTCGCCGCAGCGTGCTGCTGCTGCTGCTGCTGCTGCTGCTGCAGCTGCCTGCGACCCTCCCAAGGCAAGTCTGCGCAGCTCGAAGAGTCTTTTGAAAAGAAGTTAATTTGAAACAAACAGGCGAGGAAGCCCACAGTGCTGCAGCAGTACATGCGGCTGGAGGGCATCCTGCAGCACAGCAGCAAATACAGGTTTGTTGAGTTGCTGCTGCTTCCAGATCTTCTTTGTTTCACGCTGCTGCTGCGGTGTACGTACACCGCAGGTACCTCAAGTACTGCGACAGCAAGGCCGCTGCCGACTCGAAGGCCCGCTTTTGGCTGAAGTGTAAGGCAGCAAAACCCCACTGACGCAGCAGCAGCAGCAGCAGCAACAGCAGCAAACCCCTGCAGGCGCCTACTGCTCTTCTAATCGGATTTACCGCAAACACGAAACTCTGAGGAAACACATGGAGACAGAAGCCTGTGGCTGGAACGCACAGGAGCTCTCATCAAGCTCTCAGCAGCTGCTGGCAGCAAACGCCAAACTGCAGCAGCAGCAGCAGCAGCAGCAGCAGCAGCAGCAGCAGCAGCAGCAGCGGAAACGGCCGAGTGGGGAGACAGAGCGCAGCAGCGGGGAACAAGAAGGCAATAAAAGAGCACTCACCGCAAGTGCAGCAGCAAAGGGCGACGGCTGTGCCGGCAGCTTTAGAGCCTTGGAGTGGCAGCAACGGCAGCAGCAGCAACAGCAGCAGCAGCAGCAACAGCAGCAGCAGCAACAGCAGCAGCAGCAGCAGCGGCAGCAGCAGCCACAAGAAGAGCAACAACAGGCCTTTTCACATCGGGAAAGGCAAGGAGATAGAGCAGCAGCAGCAGCAGCAGAGCTGCACCAGCTGGACTGTCTGCAGCCAAGCATGAGTTATTATCCCTTCAACAGAGCAGCAGCAGCAGCAGCAGCAGCAGCAAGGGAAGGCAGAAGCATGAGCAGCATGAACCCTTATTTGTACTTGGGACTAGCGAGCCGCCAGCTGCAAGCAGCACCTCCAGCTGCTGCTGCTGCTGCTGCTGCTGCTGCTGCCAACAGGCAGCAAGCAGCATGCAGCATGGGCTTCTCCAGGACTCTCTTGCCTGAGTCCCATCGTTTTCGCTGCAGCGAAACGCAGCTGGCTGCCTTTGCGGCCTCCACAGCCTCCCACCCAGCAGCAGCAGCAGCAGCAGCAGCAGCAGCAGCAGCAGCAGCAGGGGAGCAGCAGCTGTCGTCGAAGGCATCGGATGTCTCGACTTGTTTGGAAGAGCTGCCCCTGGAGCAGCTGCTGCGGCGCCTTTCGAAGCAAGACGTGCAAATGCTCATACAATCGACGCTGCGCCCCGCAGCAGAGGAGCAGCAGCAAGCAGCAGCAGAAGCAGCAGCAGCAGAAGCAGCAGCAGCAGAAGAGGCAGCAGCAGAAGAGGCAGCAGCAGAAGAGGCAGCAGCAGAAGCAGCGGCAGCAGAAGCGGCGGCAGCAGAAGCAGCGGAGGCAGAAGCAGCAGCAGTAGCTGCCGCTGCTGCCGCTATGGCTGCTGCAGCACGAACGCCGCAGCCAGCAGCAACAGCGGCTGCTGCTGCTGCTTCTGCTGTTGCTGCTGCTTCTGCTGTTGCTGCGGCACAAACGCCACGGCCAGAAGGTGCAATAGAAACAGCTGCAGCTGCAGCAGCACAGGCGCCGGCAACAGAACCCGCAGCAGCAGCAACAACGGCAGCAGCAACTGCAGCAGCAGCAGCAGCAGCAGCGGCAGCAATGGAGCCAGCGGCAGAGACAACAGCAGGTGCAGCAGCAGCAGCAGCAGCAGCAGCAGCAGTGGCTCTCCCTGCCTCTCGAAAGCTGCACAACCGGACGCATGCAGCAGCAACAAAAGCAGAAGGGCCCCTCAGCAGCTCCAAGGCAGCAGCAGCAAAGGCCAAGAAGACACAAAAGCCAGAAGCTGAAGTCAAAAGCAAAGGGAGAAAGATAAAAGAAAAAAAAGAAAAGTTCAATAAATTAATTCCCACTTTTGCTGCCAACGCCTGCCACATCAGACGCTCTCTTCCTGAATCCTATCAATCCCCTGGGGGCGAGCAGCAGCAGCAGCAGCAGCAGCAGCACGAGCAGCAGCAGCACGAGCAGCAGCAGCACGAGCAGCAGCAGCACGAGCAGACGCCGGAAGAGGCACCCGCCGGTGCTGTTGAGACTTCAGTTCCTTCAACGGCAGCAGCAGCAGCAACAACAGCAACAGCAGCAGCAACAGAAGCAGCAGCAGCAGCAGCAGCAACAGAAGCAGCAGCAGCAACAGCAGCAGCAGGCAGCAGCAGCAGCACGAAGCCGAGCACAAAGCTGCCCGCTAAAAAGTACCGCAGCTGCGGTGTACAGACAATCTTGCAAATGGAATACTGTAAGCGGCTTCTTCATTGCTATTTATTTATTTATTTATTTATTTATTTATTTATTTATTTATTTATTTATTTATTTATTTATTTATTTATTATTTATTATTTATTTATTATTTATTTATTTATTTATTGAATTTATTGAATTTATCTCGTGTGCGCCGCAGTGGAGGAGGCGCTGCTGTGTTACGCGTCGAGCAGCAGAAGGAGCAGCAAAAAGAAGTTGAAAATGAAAACAGAAAAAGAAATTAAAAACAAAAAAGGAAAAGAAAAAGAAATTCAAAAAGAAACAGAAAAGGAAATTAAAAACAAAAAAGGAAAAGAAAAAGAAATTCAAAAAGAAGAAACAGAAAAAGAAATTAAAAACAAAAAAAGGAAAAGAAAAAGAAATTCAAAAAGAAGAAACAGAAAAAGAAATTAAAAACAAAAATGAATCCAAAAAAGAAATCAAAACCAAAAAGAGGCAGCAGCAGCGAAGTGACACTGCAGCAGCACACAAGGGCGCAGCAAGCGAAGCAAGCAGCAAAGTCAGTAGGACATTTCTTCATTAATTAACTAATTAATTAATTAATTAATTAATTAATTAATTAATTAATTAGTTAATTAATTAATTAATTGATTAATTAATTACTTTTATTTGTTTATTTCTTTTGATTCAGCCGGAGGAAAAGAAAGATGCGCTGCATGCGCTCCGCAGCAGCAGCCGGGGGACTCGCAGCAAGTTGAACAGGGGAGGCAGCGAAGCAGCAGCAAAAGCTGCAGCTCCAGCAGCAGCAGTAGCAGCAGCTCCAGCAGCAGCAGCACCAGCAGCAGCAGCAGCAGCAGCAGCTCCAGCAGCAGCAGCAGCAGCAGCAGCTCCAGCAGCAGCAGCACCAGCAGCAGCAACAGCAACAAAGAAAAGTCAAAGGACTTCGAATTTGCTTCGAGACAAACACCAGGAGTCTGAGGCGAGTGCAACAACTCTTTAAATGCATCTGAAGCAGCAGCAGCAGCTTTGCTTCTTTCGCTGCTGCAGGTCTCTTGCTGCTGCTGCTGCTGCTGCTGCTGCTGCTGCTGCTGCTGCTGCTGCTGCTGCTGCTAGAGTTATTAAGTTTCTTGCTTTTGACTTCCCAGTTGGCATTTTAGTTTGATTTATTGCGCACTTTCTTTTTATTTGTTCTATTCTTTGTTTGATTATTAAAAAGCAAACAGCAAATGGATTTAATTGCATTTAAATTTGCATTTAATTTCTTTTATTTCTTTTCCTTTCCAGGCGCTGCGGCAGCAGAGCGTCGAGTCGCCCTGGCTGCTGGTCGGGGCGGATCTTTTGATTTCGGAGAAGTGTAAGTTGCTGTTCCTTTCGGACTTGAACTCCGCAATTAAAAGGCTCTGCTGCTGCTGCTGCTGCTGCTGCTGCTGCTGCTGCTGCTGCTGCTGCTGCTGCTGCTGCTGCTGCTGGGGTTTTGATTTGATTGCAGGTTTTCATGTTTGTTGCTGCTGCAGACTGCGACTTGTGGGAAAGCTGTACTGTCACTTCTTACTTCCCGCACACCCAGCGCCACGAGGTGTCTGTACACTCCAGCGGCAGCCTCAAGCGCCTCAGGCTTTCTGAACTGCAGCTGCGCCTTCAGAAATAAATTTATTTCTTTTTATTTCTTTTTATTTCTTTTTATTTCTTTTATTTCTTTTATTTCTTTTATTTCTTTTGGACATTCCCATTTCTTGAACAGACTCGGCTTCTTTTAGAGAATTTATTTCTTTTTATTTCTTTTAATTTCTTTTAATTTCTTTTAATTTCTTTTATTTCTTTTATTTCTTTTGGACATTCCCATTTCTTGAACAGACTCTTCTTCTTTTAGAGCTGCTTTTTCCCTTTAGCAGCTCCGTTTGTGTCTTCTCTTTTCTTTTTTCTTCAAGAGTCCGTACACCTCTCTGTTCAAAAATTGCATTTCAGTTGACAAATTCTTCTTTTGATTCATTTAACTCCTCAGTTCCTCTCCAGGGCCTTCCAGTTCTCTTCTCCTCCTTTTCTCTTCGCCGCATTTCGCAAAAAGCTGCTTCGAATTCGCCTTTACTTGCAAAGCGAAAAAACTTTCCGAAAAGCCTTCGAAGTTTTCCGCTCGGAGTTGAACTCAGTTGAGTTCCAACTCGAGTTCAAACGCAGAAGTTCAACTGCGGGCAAAAGCTTTCATGAAAAGACAAAAGGAGGAAAAGTGAAGAAAAAAGAAAATAAATGAAAAGACAAAAGGAGGGAAAGTGAAAAGAAAAGAAAATAAATAGAAAAGATAAAAGGAGGGAAAGTGAAAAGAAGAAAAAAGAAAATAAATGAAAAGACAAAAGGAGAGGAAAAAGAAGAGAAAAGGAAATAAATAGAAAAGATAAAAGGAGAGGAAAGTGCAGAGAAAAGAAAAGAAAATAAATGAAAAGGTAAAAGGAGAGGAAAGTGAAAAGAAAAGAAAAGAAGACAAAAGGAGAGGAAAGTGAAAAGAAAAGAAAAGAAATGAAAAGACAAAAGGCGGACTTTCGAAGGCAAAGTTCGCTGCGTTGAAAACTCCGCGGCAACTTCGAAAGCCGCGGGGCGAACTGACTTGAGCTGCTGCTTTCTTGAAAGTCTTTTCTTCTTTTCTTTCTTTTCTTTCTTTTCTTTTCTTTTTTCTTTCTTTTCTTCCTTTTCTTTTCCTTTCTTTTCTTTTCTTTTCTTTTCTTTTCTTTTCTTTTCTTTTCTTTTCTTTTTTCTTTCTTTTCTTTTCTTTTTTTTTTTCTTTCTTTTCTTTTCTTTTTTCTTTTCTTTATTTCCCAAAGACGATAAAATGCTTGCCGGCAGTTTGCAGAAGAAAAGCAGCAAAGCACTTCACGCCGCCTTTCGTCTCAGCGTCAAATTCGCACTTGCAAACGAACTGACTGACAAAACGCCCGAGCGCCTTTCTCAGCAATCCGCCCGCGAGAGTCGAAAGCCTTCCAACTAACTTCACAATCTGAATACAGTAAAGCTGCTTTCCAACAGCACTGCTTTCCAACAGCACTGCTTTCCAACAGTTTTGCTTTACAACAGTGCTGCTTTACAACAGTTTTGCTTTCCAACAGCACTGCTTTCCAACAGTTTTGCTTTACAACAGTGCTGCTTTGCAACAGTTTTGCTTTCCAACAGCACTGCTTTCCAACAGAGCTGCTTTGCAATAGTTTGGCTTTCCAATAGAGCTGCTTTACAGAAGTTTTGCTTTCCAACAGTGCTGCTTTCCAATAGTTTTGCTTTCCAACAGCACTGCTTTCCAACAGAGCTGCTTTCTCAGCAATCCGCCCGCAAGAATTGAAAGACTTCTAAATAACTTAATAACTGCTTTCCAACAGCACTGCTTTCCAATAGTTTTGCTTTCCAACAGCACTGCTTTCCAACAGTTTTGCTTTCCAACAGCACTGCTTTGGAATAGTTTTGCTTTGGAATAGTTTGGCTTTGCAGTGGCGCTGCTTTGCTTTGCTCCCAGCGACTGTTTCGAAGGGACGAACTCAAAAACTCGAAACTGCAAAACTCGAAACTGCAAAACTCAAAACTGCAAAACTCGAAAGTGCAAAACTCGAAACTGCAAACTGCAGCACTTTGCCGTTTTCGAACTTCGTCTGCGCAGTCGCAGCTTCGCTGCTCTCCAACTCCTCTTTTGGTTGCAGCGCCGCTCAGCAACGTTGCGGTTCCTCGCAGTCGAAGTGAAAACTTCGAAGTGCGGCTTCTCAAATGAAAAACAATAATGGAAAACGCAAATTACTTCAAGTTCAAAACGACACTTTAGCAGCTGTTCACCAGATCCTGCAGACACTCCTGGGAAGACCGAGAAGTGCTGCAGCCGACAGTAGTTGTTGAAGCTGCGTTTCAAATTAAAGCGAATTTCTCCCAAATTTATAGTTTATTTAGAGTTGAAAAGCCAAAGGGGCTGCAGGAAAACAGGAAACGAAGAAAAACTGTTCATTCGCGCAAGTTCCCTGGCTACTCGCCAGAGGCAAGACTGCACACCTTGGGGTTACCACTGGGATCTGCACACTTTAGTACAAAGCGGAATCTCAAAAGCTGTTTAAAATTTAGTTAGGAGGAAATGAAGAAATTGAGTTTCTGGCGGTAGCGATAAAGCCTAGAGAACACTTTTGCTGTGCAGAACTGAAATTCTGAATCGGTAACCTTAACAGCGGACGGCAGGGGTCCAAACTCCACGAAAAGCGCTACAAAGAGCAGATCAAGTTTCAATGCATGAACGCTTTTGATTTTTCAAAAGTCTTCAAAGATTTCTTTATTTGTTTCCTTCAGTCAGTCCTTCCCTCGGCAGCAGCCCCACTTGGGGCTGCCGCCGAGGCTCGCCCGATCCACTGCGCATTGAAGCATTTAGAAACAAACCTGAACCTGCAGCCAATGTTTTGCAGACTGTTCTCATTTTCTTGTTTCTAAACTTGCAAAGGCTCACAACTAGCGGCGTCGGTGGCGTTGCCAGTGGGGCTCGCTATGGCATTTCGAAATGGGACCAGGGCCTGAGGAAACTTCGTCGCTAAACCAAAAGGGTTCCAAAGCTGCTGACTTCGGCGCTTCCAATTCCAGCAAAAAGCTCCAACACTCGCACTTGCATGCAGCGCCGAAGACCGACTTCGCCTGCCTCACTGACGCAGAACGCCGGGACAAACTCGAGAGGCGCCTGCAGGCCCAGCTGAGGGACGGAACTCGCAGCAGAAATGTGAAGCGACTTGGAGATCCTCTAGTGAAGCACCTTCTGCGGGTGGCCGGCAACGCAGCCTACAGGTCAGCTGCAGTGGGAGTGCCGTTTGCTTCCGGGCGCCAGAGCCCTTAGTCTGGTTCTTTGCTGCGCATGCACTCCTGCTGCGTTCTTTGCATGCGCTCCGCTCAGAGACTTGCGGCAAAGCGTCATCGCCACGGGAAAGACGCTTGTATGCGAGCTACTCAGCAACTTCCCCTGCAGGCGTTTGGCCGTCCGTCGTCGAGGCTTGGCAGCGCTACAGGCTTTACTCCCTTCTCTATACAGCGCTGGAAGTCCTCCACTCAATGAACAAACCAGCAACGCAACGCACAATGCCAAAATTGAACTGCCTCTCCAGGATGCGAGGCACTCCGACTACTTCAAAACGCGCTCTCGGCTGAACACAAACGTCGAGACGCACTTTGTCAGCAACCGAATTCTACGGAAGGTACGCTAGACAACACTGAGTAGTCGTCATCTATAAGTTCGTGGTGGAGTTCAAGCCAAGGGAAATGCGCAACACCTCAATGCAAGTGCTTTCAGGTGGCGGGCTTTCAATCTTACGACGACGGCTGCGTTGCTGAGATGCGAATGCCAGATCAAGCGCAAGACTTCGCGGACATTCGGCTACTGCTCTGCCTGGGCAACATTCCGCCGTCTCTGGGACGAATAGATCAGTCAACGGCATCAAAGCACTCCGCGGAAGACCTGGATCCAGGAACAGTTGGAACATTGCTTAGAACTGCAGCTGCTCTGCAGTGGCAGGGCGCTTGGATCTTGCCGTCGTGCCCTGATGTATTCAACCCGCTTGCAATAAGGGCGTCACAGGTACGGCAGCATCACAAGTGCGACGATATCAGCATACACGATGCCACCTGAATATGGTTAAACCGTTTTAAGTTCGTTTCACTATTTTTGTATTCATGTATTTGCATGTATTTGTGTACCTTACCCATAGGGAGCTCTCTTTTGGCTACCGTATCGTCGAGGCAGTGCAGAGGAACTGATTCAGCTTTGTCGAGCTAAAGAGTTGGCTTTGTGTGTGCCTCATGAAAGTGGCACCCCCGTACGAACAGCAGGGCTTTTTGAACAAGAAAAGAAGAAGGGCGTTTGCCTTGTTCTGGATTGGAGTCTAATAAATAGTTCGATAATGGGCAGCAGCAAAAAGGAGCCAAGAGAGGACTCCACCAGTTTGCCTGAAAGTTCCCCCGTTTCCCCAGGGACTCCCAAGGACGCATCAAGACGCGCGAAAGCAAAACATTCTATCTTCAAGCCAGACATTTTTCTGTCCCTCGGTGCAGAGATTGCCCCGGAAGGAACTATGCATCTTCTGCACCCAATTACCGTAGCCTCAATGTTGATTTATCACATCAAGCACGTGCACTTCCCTTCTCTAGCCGGCTCACCTTATCTTTTTTCTGTGAAACAGAGGACTAAGGCTATGTGAAATTTGGTGTCGCGTAGCCACTACATACACTTGACAGCGAGTTCAACTGTGTTGTGAAGCATGTAGTCGAAAGCGGTCTCGAAACAAGAGTCTGGGTAAGGATACGAAGTCAAAAGTCTTGAGCTAACGACACGCGTTACGCAAGCTGCCAGATTAGACAGTGGCAGGAGCAACGGCGACGTATTCGCTGCTTGTTGCGGCGACGATGCTGGCCAGGGTTGTCGCGTAGAAAGCTGAAGGAATCGCACGTGAGCGTGTGTGTCGAACATAAGTTCCGCTCGCAAGCAGCCTACCGATCAGTGCCCGGGTGACGAATGCGACGATGTTGAGCCTCCTGAAGCGCAAGTACATTATCGTGTTCGCTGGTTGCAATTTGTTGGGTGTTCAATTACTTGACGAGAAGGGTGAAGACGAGCTCAAGCAGCATTCCAGCGAGGGCGACGTTGAAGACGGAGCGCCAGTCGCTGCTGGCGGCGACCTTCGCGAAGTAGGCCTTGGACGAGAACGCAAAGAGGGTAGCGACGTAGAAGCCGCGGACAACAATGGTGAGCTTCCTATAAGAACAACACAGCTCAACTTTGGCCGTGCGGCTTCAAGAGAGTTCGCGCTTTCCTACCAGAGGCTGCTGACGTTCGTCAACGTCTGGGCAAGCGCACGGGCAACGCCTCCCGTGTGGAACGGAGAGATGGTCATGGAGAACAGGAAGAGCTCCGTCAGGATGCCGACAGAGAGCGCCGTCAGGAACTGGAGAGGCGACAATCACTGACACCAACTCAGCCGGACTTGCAGCAGCTTCGCGCTTACCCGTCTGCGGTTGTTGCAGATGGCTTCGTCGACTTCTTCAACAGTGGCATAGCGACGGGGAAAGCCGGAGAGGGCTTCAGCTTGCTGCGCCAGAGCCGCATCTTCCGTCTTCTCTTCAGTCGCGGCTTCTTCAGTCGCGCCGGGAAGAGGGAGGCCTGGAGGCAGCCGCAGTGTTTCATGCAGCCCCAGCGGAGAAGAGATGAACCGAGACAAGCTTACCTATCACGGACGCTCCCGCGGCGTCGTGCACCAGGATGTTCAGAAGATCCTCGCTGATCTTGCTCTTGGGCAGGATCACCCCGGCCTCAGGGGCCAACGCCGCTTGACAGGCCGACATCTTGTCTAGTCGAATGGGTAGCATGAAACGGCCCTCCAACCAAAAGTTCAAAATCACAATCAGTGGACATCTGACGGCGCGCCGCCAAACTGCGCAGCTGCAACTCCCGAGCTGTCTCGACACCTCAAAGGTCATGCCACTTCGCCTCACGAACCCACACCCCCGCGCCATATTTCAGAAAGCCACCGATCACGGCTTCACTTTCAATTTTCCTGCGGCTTCTCGCCATTTTCCGCGTTCAAGAGAGTCGGAAGCAGTTGCCCCGCCGTCGTGCCTACGCCTCTCAGCTGTGAGACCATTTTCAACTGTTCAAGAACGAGTGAGCGCTGCAGTGCGCGTTCAACTGAACTACTCGGTTCATTACAACTTCGCACCACCTACAGCGAAGCAAACGCTCCGCCAATAGTTGAAATCGTTAGAGCCGTCAGAAGCGGCCGACTTGCGCATGATCTTTCCTGTTGCGCATTTCGCGCGCCTCAGTCACAGCTTAGGAAGTTGATAGACTTCAGTGGCACCTCCCCTTAGCTAATTTGCATGTGATACAATGTATGTTTATATGCTGCTGGCAAACTGACATTTTGCACAGCCCCGCAGAAGTGCTGCTCGTCGCTGCATTTCGGTGGAAAACAGTCGGTAGTCTAGCAATGCCCTCTTGAGTGAAATGTTACTTTAGTGAGTGCCTTGTTCGCGCTTCTTTGTTTCTGCGACGGCTTGTGACGAACTGCACTGCTACAAACTAAAATTGTACATGCTAGGGGAACGCGCATGCATGAATAACGAGCAAAAACATGAATTCAACGACAAATGAAAGTTGAATCGAACGATACGCATGAAAGGGTCCCGCGACTACTAAAAAGAAGAGTGGATTCGCCCTTCACACAGAGAGGGCGAATCCTCAGTAAGTTCGCAGTGAGTACGCATTCGCCCCACTAGGCTATGTGGTGGACTCTCATGACCTATCCGTGAGGGCCCTGGACTGCGCAGTGTCAAAGCCAGCAAAGCTTGCAACCTGTATCGGTTCTTTGGTGAGAAAATTGAGTCTAAACACACTGCCGGCACCATTCGAAAGAGCGGCCGTGCCAATTCAAGAACGACTTGCACGAACGACTGCTGCGGCTTTGCCTGAACTCTGCAGCCAGTGGCCGCCGTCGCTGGACGCCATGCCTTAAATGTCGTCCAGCAAGTGTGAAGAAGCTCCTGTGCCGGGCGCTGGAGCCGGGAGGGCGGGGGCAGCGCCCTTGATGTACTGGTAAGTCATGCGGCCGTAGGCCACGGGGGGCACGTAGTTCTTCCTGATCTTCGGCGCCTGGCTCGCCAAGATCTCGTGGTTCCTCGCTGCAAGAAGCAGAAGCCCGCAAAAGAGAAGCAAATAAGCTTCGGAGGAACTCTCGAATTCAAGACTACGTGAAGTGGACAAAGAGCCCGCAGTGCAGGATCCGGGGCTGCGACTTCGCCGCTGCCAGGCTGCTTGCTCACCGGCTTTGCCTCCGTTGATGTTGACGCCGAGCTTTTTGAACTTTCGAAGCGTCTTCGAATCATTCTTTTCCACTTTTGAAACGATAGACTGAAGACAAAAGAGAAGGATCGCCGGACTGCATGCAGCGCCGCGACTTTTGCACAGCCACGCAAGCAGTTGAAGGAAAGCAAGCGAACCCCCGCGCCCCCCAGCTGTCTGCAGGTTGAACTCACTGCAAGTTGTTTGTTCTTCTGCGAGTCGATTTCCCTGAGAGCAAAAACGCACAAGACGAGTTCGCCGCGAGTGCATGCGCCGCAGGCACTGCAGCAACAGCAGCGGGAGAAGCCCCGTTAGTTGAAAGCCACTCCTGTGCGGCCATTTGTCTTGGGAAAATCGAGAACTAAGTTGCTGCGGACTGCAGCAGGCGAAAGCTGAACTGAGACTTTGCTGCACCTCTCCTTCCACTTGCTGCGCAGCACCCGAATGGGTCTGTTGCCGACGTATTTGTAGTTCATTTCCTTCAGCGCCTTCAGCATGTCGTTGGGGTCCGTGAAGGACACAAAGCCTGCAAGCAGCAGCAAACTCCACGCCAGCTGTCTTTCAGCGCTTCAGCAGCAGCAGCGCCGCCTGCTGCTGCTGCTGCTGCTGCTGCTGCAGCAGAAGGCTCACCGTAGCCCTTGGTCTTTCCCGTTCTCTTGTCGCGAACGACGCGGGCCTTGTCGAAGGACTTGTACTTGCGGAAGGCACTCGCGAGGACTTCGTCCGTGACTTCGTTTCCCAAGTCCCCGCAAAAGACCCTGACGACGCCCGAAAAAGCCCAACAGCCCGTCTCCAGCAGCAGCAGCAGCAGCAGCAGCAGCAGCAGCAGCAGCAGCAGCAGCAGCAGCAGCAG